AGGGCGGGGCAATCGGGGGCTGGTACTCACTGGGGTGCCGGGCAGTCCTCGCTCACCAGGGAAGCCCCGCAGCCCCGCTGGGCCGTCCTTCCCCAGGGATCCTGGGGGGCCGGGGTCGCCCTACAGAGGGAAGCAGGAGAATCAGCTGGGTCCCCCCTGTGCCCCGCAGTACAGCGCCCCTAGCGCTGTCCCGGGGCCCCACGGCGCCTCACCTTGGTGCCTTCTTTCCCAGAGGGTCCTGGCAAGCCCTGCTCTCCTGGCGGGCCGGGGGGGCCCGGGTGCCTACAGAGGGAAGCAGGAGAATCAGCTGGGTCCCCCCTGTGCCCCGCAGTACAGCGCCCCTAGCGCTGTCCCGGGGCCCCACGGCGCCTCACCTTGGTGCCTTCTTTCCCAGAGGGTCCTGGCAAGCCCTGCTCTCCTGGCGGCGGACCCGACTCTCCGGGAGCACCCTAGTGCAGGGGGAGACAAGAAACAGACCTTCAGGGAATGGGTCCAGCCATCGACCCCGACTCGGCCACCACCAGGGGAGTCACTGCTCCTGGTGGGCACGGCCTCTCCCAGCCCACCCCAGCACCCGGCTCCTTACCTGAGGTCCTACCACCCCCGGAGGTCCGGGCGGGCCTGTCTTGCCTTGGAAACCCTGGAAACCAGAGACAGGGGCATCAGCACGGTGGCTCTGCCCTCTCCCAAGTGTGAACAGTCGCATGGGGGGAGAGATGAGTGAGGCAGGAGAGTGTGAGGAGTAAACATGGAGTAACCAGGGAGTAACATGTATGTGAAGAGTAACACAGGAGCAGTCCGAGAGTAACAGATGAGAATGAGAGGTGTAACCACGGAGTACCCAAAGAGTAACAGGTGAGAGTGTGAAGAGTAACCACGGAGTACCCAAAGAGTAACAGGTGAGAGTGTGAAGAGTAACCACGGAGTACCCAAAGAGTAACAGGTGAGAGTGTGAAGAGTAACCACGGAGTACCCAAAGAGTAACAGGTGAGAGTGTGAAGAGTAACCACGGAGTACCCAAAGAGTAACAGGTGAGAGTGTGAAGAGTAACCACGGAGTACCCAAAGAGTAACAGGTGAGAGTGTGAAGAGTAACCACGGAGTACCCAAAGAGTAACAGGCAAGAGCGTGAGAAGTAGCCATGTGCTACGTCTACACTGGCATGATCTTGCTCAAGAACTCTTTTGCAAAAATGTCTGCACTGGCACGTGCCTTTGCGCAAGAGTGTAGACACTCTCTTGCGCAAGAAAGCTCTGCCGGACATTTTAACCATCAGGCTCTCTTGCGCAAGAAATTCATGTTGCCTGTCTACAGTGGCCTCTTGCGCAAGAACAGTTGTGCAAAAGGGCTTATTCCTGAGCGGGAGCGTCAGAGTTCTGGCGCAGGAAGCCCTGATTTCACACAGTAGTGTCAGTTGACTTGCACAAGAACACACGGCCAGTGTAGACAGGCAGCAAGTTCTTGCGCAAAAGTGGCCGCAGATCCCAATGTAGACACTGTCAACACAGCCCCCAAGTATCCAGAGAGTATCAGATGAGATGTGAGGAGTAACCATGGAGTACCCAAAGAGTAACAGGTGAGAGTGTGAGGAGTAATCATGGACTATCCAGACAGTAACAGGTGAGGATGTGAGGAGTAACCATGGAGTACCCAAAGAGTAACAGGTAAGAATGTGAAATGTAATGCAGGAGCACCCAGAGAGTAAAACATGAGCGTGTGAGGAGTACTGATAGACTTAACCAGACTGTCACACGTGACTATATGAACAGCAATGTGACGAGGGGAATCAGAGACGAACTTTGACATACCTGAGGAGTAATGCAGCAGTATCCCGAGTGTAACAAAGCAGCATGCAAGGATTAACATGGGAGTACCCAGGGTACGTCTACACTAGCTCGTTAATTCGAGCTAGGCAGGGTAATGAGGACAACTGGAGTTGCAAATGAAGCCCGGGATTTAAATATTCCGGCTTCATTTGCATGTTCCCGGGCGCCGCCATTTTTAAATCCCCCTTAGTTGGAACTAACTGCCTCATTCCACGAGGAGTAACAGTTAATCCGAACTAAGGATTTAGTTTGATTAACTTTAAACTTCCGCGTGTGGCCGCGGGCAGTTAGTTCAGACTAAGGGAGATTTAAAAATGGCGGCGCCCGGGAACATGCAAATGGAGCCGGAATATTTAAATCCTGGGCTTCATTTGCAACTCCGGTTGTCCTCATTACCCTGCCTAGCTCGAATTAACGAGCTAGTGTAGACGTACCCCCAGAGAGCTACAGGAGCGTAGGGAAGAAGTGACAGTGGAGTGAACAGAGCAATGTGGGAGAGAGGAGTAACGTGGGAGTGGCCAGAGTGCAAAGCAGGAGTAAGAAAGAACGAACACAGGAGTATCCAGAGAGTAATATGCGAGCAACCAACATGCAAAGTGGGAGAGCGGTGAATTGGAGCATCACACAGAAGTAGCCACCGAGTAATGCCCAAGTATGCGAGGTGTAATATGGGAGTAACAGGGAGTAAGAAGGAAGTAACGGGGGGGCAATCAGAAAGTAACAGGCTGCTCTGTGAGGGTAGTGAAGGCGTTTCCAGCCCGTAACACGGGAGGAGGCGAAAGGAAGCCAGGAAGTGACTTAGGAGTAACGCGGAGGAACCCGAGGAACAGGGTAAGAGAAGAGGCTCTGCAGCCCGGCAGCGCCGTAGCAGAGACACGTACGACTTCTCCTCGCTGACCAGGGTGCCCAGGAAGCCCGTCCTTGCCAGGGGGTCCCTGTGGGGAGAAAGAGGGAGAGGTCAGTGGGGCAGGGGGAGGTGGCAGTGGGAAGGGTCT